AGAACCTATAGAAGGTACACCACTTCAATATATTGAACTTTACAACCGATGTTGGGATAGTGATCCTGCCAACCGTCCAGAAACAAAAAAAATTCTCAATACTTTAAGCCAACTTAATCCTAAAGAAACTTTGAGTCAACAACATCCCATTGGTGCATCAACTCAAAGTAGTGACATTTCCTCAAGTCGTCAAGGTAATATAACAGCAACAGAAACTTTGCTCGATTTTACGACATCATCTCCACTTTATTTGCCTGATACAATAAATTCAAGCCTTTCAATGCAAGACGATATTATTAATGACATGAGAAAAGGTTCATCACCAAATGAAATTCCATTATTATCCGGTATATTTCGACTATTTTCAATAATCGCCCAACAAATTCAACAAATTGGTAACGATGGTAACGATGGTAACGATGGTAACGATGATGAAGAGCAAATCATAAATTCACCAGATTCGTTACTTTTGAGTGGGGTTAATCAAGAAACAACAATAGATAATTTTCAAGCGGCTGAAGATTTTACAATAAAGAATCCTCCACTAGAAGAAATACCGCCTAAGGATCATATAATATACATTCAAAGTTTAGGTGGTGCTATAGCTTGGGATTGGGATCCTGATGATTCATTATTAAAACAGCAAATCGTTTTTATGACGGATGAGGGTAAAACTATTAACTTTCATAAGCGATTAGACTCTATGGTGCAAACGAACTATCCATTTTTTATACCTCAAGTTGAAGGTGATGTACTCTATGAGGCCCCGTTTGGACGACCAGAAACCATGCCACATCGACTAGGTCAAATGCTACATTATTTTGAGATAACGGTCTTGGCAAATCCTGATAAAAGAAATACCATTATCGCTATAGGGTTGGCTACCAAGCCTTATCCTCCTTTTAGGTATTTATATAATTAATAATGTTGCATACGCTTAATGTACCAGCTAAATAACGAAACTAAATAACAATCATAAACTCATAAATAACAATCATAAACTCATAAATAACGAACATGAATAATAAACATATTATTATTATTATAGGTTGCCTGGATGGAATATATTGAAGTGGTGTACCTTCTATAGGTTCTTCTCTATTTCCTTGGGATATGTGAATAATGAGTGAATTCCTAGATTCGAAAGTTTGAAATGGTGGTCTTCCACTTGAAATTTCCCAGAAAATAATTCCAAGACTATAGATATCAGATTTTTTATCACATTTATATCTATGGTCGATAAAACATTTAGGTTCGGTATACGCCAGCATTCCGTGAATAATTGAGTTTGAAGTCATAAATATTTCATTTGTCTGCTTTGACAGTCCTAAATCAGCGATTTTTGGCTGCCTTTGATGAATTAAAATATTCTTCGAATGCTATGAAATATATATCAAACATTAATTACTGTAGTTAAAACACATAAACATATAAATTATTATATACTTACGAGAACTCCATGAATAATATTGTTATCGTGTAAAAACAAAAGACCATGCACTATTCCTTCAGCAATCTGCAATTTATCTGCCCATTGTAATTTCTCGAAATATGCGTTCAGATATTCTCGTAAATTTCCGTCATTAGCATATTGTAAAACCATATTATAATGACCATTATTATCTATTTATTTGTAATTAATACCATAAATTATAATATTATTTTAGATTTAGGAAAAATGAACCGTATGTATACCTTTCGTGACCCCATAAAATTTAATAATATTTGGATGGTCAACTTTGCTTAATAGTTTAAGCTTTAATTTCAGATTATTGATAAAAAAAAAATGTATATAATATTATACTATAAAACAATTCAAGTTTTAATATAATAAGTACCTCATTAATAAAATCTTTAATAATTTCTTCATTTAATTCTGTATCGACATCGATCTTAAGACATTTGAGGGCAACTTTTAAATAACAATCTTTCCACTCGTATTTAAACACCTTTCCAAAGCTTCCGTTGCCAATCATTGTAGGATCTGTAAATTTATTATATTCAAGATTATTAATATAACCATCGGAAATAGCTTTTTCAAACCATTCTTCTGTTGCATTTTCCATTATTTTTGTATGCCGGAAAAATCGTACGTACGTGCACACCTTTATACTTACTGATACGTGACACAGTGGGGGTGTGCGATATGTGTACTTTTAGGATCTTCCCGGAAGATTTCTCCCATATCTGTTAGCCAATAGTGAGCCACAATTTAATGTAACGTAACACGACCGGAAAATTTTAAAACGAACGTTAGTCCGAAGAAATCGTTCATTTCTCAAGACAATGCATAAGAAACCTCTCTTCGTGCTCTAACAAATAAACTTCCTAACCTTAATATAGGTGCTATCATAACATAAATAAACTTTGGGAAGTTTTGGGAGATATATTTTTCCTGTGCGATATATTATGTAAATCAAATCTATATGCAGTCTTATATGTGTGCAACCAAAAGAAAACATACAAATTTTAAAATGGAATTTTACACAAAAAATACGGGGTTTTTATTTAACTCTAATTATTCTACATTTTTGGTACGTACGTACGTACAACAACTGATAAAACGTCATGTATAACTTTTCTAACGGAGTCTTGTTAATTACGTACATACGTACGTACATTACGTACCAAATGACTAGATCACCGAACATTCTTTGTTAACATGTATCCTAAAATAATTTTGAAGCCGCATTCTGTTGCACAATCTCTATATTTAAATGTGTATGTTTTCTTTTGACGACACTCATATGAAAATCAATTAGTATAAATTTTTGTGTAACAAATAATAAAATGCAATTTTGATAAAAAAAAAAAAATGTATATTTTTTTGGGTTATGGCAAAGCTCTCTATTACATTAAATTATGCGATCCACTGAACCCTCATGCAAATTTGAAGTTTGCAATGTTTTTGTAAAAAATATTTCAAATTGTATTTCCAATATTCCACATATTAATCTGTTTAGAAGCTTCGCATAAAAGCTTAGTGAATAGCTTTTTTACTGTAAAATTTTTTCATAATCGTAAAGATAAAATTTTTATCGAAATTAGACTTTTCACAATATTTTATTATGTACAGTCTGCTCCAAAAGTTTATCACGGTTACACAAAAATAATATACAAATCAACGATAAAATATTAATGAATACGACCGACTCTTGATATAAAACAAGTAACCAAAATCCTTCTTATATTGAAACTTTCTTATATCAAAGACTTATAAAATTTCAAATGGAACTTGTAAAATCTTTCTTATGTCAAGAGCTTTTTATATTGAATATTTCCTATATTGAGAATTGTATATACATAATTATCATAAATTTGTGATACTGTGCGTTGCATAAAATCTTTATTAATTGATTTTCATGTATTAGATTTCTCAAACGTTAAAGTTCTGACGTTAATTAAATCCGCGTAGTAAATTTCATGAGCCTGATGTAAATGTTTCATACGTAATTATTGCGCTTCTCAAATTACTGTAATCAGCAATCTAAATAAATGCAAATCTGTGATTGGTTGGAAATAATTTTTAGTATTCGCATCTGTGTGATTAGAGATGTGCGAATGCATATTTTTTTGGCCCTGCATTGCATAATGCAGCATAATGCAGCATGCGACATTATGCAATCATAGTGTTCTCGTACGTACCAAAATCAAGAAGCAAGATCCATACCCAATCTTTCTTATCTCTAGACAGAAGTTTACTATTTTATGGTA